GACCTATTCATTGAGGATAAAGTGAGATCGTGGATTGAAATGGCAACTAAAAGCATGTCCTATCGACAAAAGTGCCATATATATGTAAATTTGTAGAGGATTGGTTTGTCTTGGTAGCAACACTTGCCCTATAACTCGCCGGCACCAGGGGCTGTATGACGGAGATAAGGGATGAAAAATTGAGGTTCAAATCAATGATCAGTCCTCCCATCACTTCAAGTGACCCTAAGGACTTGAGTCCTTGTTGAAGAAGTACAGACAATTTAGAAAACTACTTAAACTGAATGCATTTTCTCGTTATTGAGTAGGCTTTCGAAACTATCAGTAAATCAAATATATGAGATGTGTTCACCCTATTTCATTTAAGGTGATAAGGACTGGAAGGAGAATTTTCCCACATATGTTTTAGTTACTGGTAGTCGCGAAAACCTACACAACAAGGAAAAAAGTAATGTCGTCGATTGCTATAGCAAATATAAGTTTGCTTCATCGATAATCCCAACACAGAATGTGATATGGAAAATGCCTAACCTTCCTTGAAATTCACATCTGCCCTGTGAACCAAGGGCTCGCGTGGCAATGTGGCTTAGTGGTTCACGTATCGAGATTACATGCTGCGTTGTCATGGTACGACTCCCGCTGAGGGCGTTGATAGGACCTAGGCGAGGTGGAAACTGCAGTCCACCCTGGATGTGAGCACCTCTTGGGAAAGCAAGGCTACGTGAAATTCAATGGAAACGTCAGCCCTATTCATATAATTGTGGGAAAAGACAACAACTATTCTTTCATTAGATCTCATATATATGGATGCTATTCTCCCTTTTTCATTATTAATTTACCTATTAATAAAACGGAATTTATGGTATAATGAATAACATGACCAATTTTGAATCAATGCTGGCTCAGACCACAAGGTGTCCAATATGTTTTATTATAAGGAAATAAACTATGTAATATAAGTGGTTTGAGCTCGCTTTTGTAACTAGATTGTGTTGTCAGGGCGACCTAGATGAGCGCACCATGTCCGGATTCCTCCGTCATGGTAATTATGAACATTTTCACCGTCTGACCATGGACTTGTTGCTTGTGATTCAGAGGATTAAGCTAACGTCATTTTCACAATTTAGTCACGTTGTCAAGGCCATATTGTCGATGCCACTGAAAAGTTTATGAATGTACCAAGTCTATAGTCTATAGTCAGACGCTGGAAATTAACATGACTACCAGGAAAGTGGATTTCTAACAAGGTACATTCATCCTCATTGAGCTAAAAGCACGAAAACGTTTCAAAAACGATGTCAGATCACTTCGATGCAGTGAAGGGAGACTTCGACTAAGATTAAGGCCATACCATATTGGTCTTCATATCTGAAATTATAAAGTGCTTATCGGTGCCAAAAGTATGCATTTGGTTTGCATACTGTAAAGAGACCTCAAAACCCGTATTAAGCGTTATTGGGATAATTTTATTTCAAAGTGCATGATGAAGAGATTCTTTGGTTTGATCTACCTGGAAGATGCCAATTGATTCCCGTTGTACCGCAGTCCCTTGGCTGTAATACGACGTTCAGGTTGACGCAGTCCACGAGACCTCCTCTCTCTTTTCGGGTGAATACAGGCTGAGCTTTCGTCAATCATATGATGGACATACTCAGAACTGAAACTCATTCTTGCAAAGGTCTTAACTTAGCAGTGGGTCATACTCATACTCATAACTAAAATCAAATTTATATGGAAATAGATAGATAGATATAGAATAATTTAGCTATTTCACTTTAATTTTCGTCATCGTACTTTTACTCGTGTGTATGTGTGTGTGTGTATGTGTATTAATGCCTATTCGCAATACTGGTCCTAAATCAGTTATTAAAAAAGCCTAATATCAAGTTTCGCAACCTGCTTTACACCCTTACAAGCTTACATCTCATTATCTCGACTAGAGTTGTATACGGACTTACGCAGTCTCGATCAGGGGTTTTTGTTGGCTCACTGGACTTTGATGCTCTAGCCTGACATTATGCTTTTTTAATCACTATAATTTAGGACCGGTATTTCGCATAGACCCAGGTAAAAGTATCATGATCAATATGAATGATAATGACTCAAACACTTCTATATCTATCTATGCTTATACATTTCCGCTTGTTCATTTATGACTGTATATAAGAGGTAAGACAAAACCGGACAGACTTCTTGATCTAGTGCTAGCTTGAGGCTTTTACAAGAAGGAGTTCCAGCTCTCATTTGATGGACGAAAGCTAAGCCCATCTTCACCCGAAACGAGGGAGGATGTCTCGTGCACTGCGTCAACAAGAAAGTCGTATTAAAACCAAACAGCTTCAGAACAACTACAATCAAGCGTTTTCTTGCGGTTAAATCAACCAACTAATCTTTTCATACAAAATGAAATTCTTTTCAACATCGTTATCTTAAGAGACTCATCGAAACCCAGTTACTTCACGTATATGCACCGTATTAAGCAGACACCATACAAAATGATTTCAGTTACTAGGCCACATGCTGGGCCGACTCATCTTACGGCCCAAGTCCCAACATGTCAGTCGGAAGAGTGCCTTGTTAGCATGCCTGAGGGTGGCAGGAATATACGATTAAGGTTTACTTACTTGGCAAGACAGCTCAAGATCACTTCGTATTTTTGTTTCGCAACAGTAGCTTCGTGAAGTTCCAACAATCTAAAATGTGAAAAAAAGTAGACAGCATTACTTGATCTGAGACGGAATGAAAATGCCTAAACAAACAAGAAATATGGCCGAAATATCATATGTTTTCATAAACACAACTTGCCGATGGTTTACTCACCCAGTGGCTTCAACATGTAACTATACAAGCAACGAAAGAATAATGAAAAAGATTTTATATCACTCAACATTAAACTCTTAATACCCTCTTCTTATTGCCATAAGCGAACAGTTTATCACATCACTGCTCTATGCTCGATAAGCGTTTCATTCACCCTAGGTTGCATATGATGAAAGAGTGACAATTAAAGTTCCCAACAATGATATAAATATCCCTCACATTTCCATTGAATTTCAATTGCCTAACTTTCTTTAAATTATTATATTCCAGGCTAGAATAAACTGCAGTTTAGACCTTGCTTTGGTATCATCAGCACCTCTAGCGGGACTCGAACTCCGGTAGTATACGCTGTGTGACCTAGGGTGAATGTAATGTTTATTAAAGGTTTATTGATAGTTTTGAAAAGTCAGTCCAAATGAGTGTATGCCCGATAGCCTCATTAGCACATTTTTGGCCACTATTTGTCATTAGTAAAACGACCCAAATGCTCCGCATCTAACCTGTCTACAAAGGTAGACTGGATGACAATCCGGGCTATCACAGAAACCTAAAGAAGTTATTTTTGTAGATCTTGAATAAGAATCATGTTCACCATATTTCATTAAAAGTGATTAAGGACGGATAGTTGAATGTTTCCACATTGATATAAATAGAACTGGCATTTCCATTTAATATCACATAGCCTTGCTTTCCCAAAAGGTGTTCTCATCCAGGATAGACTGCAATTTCGACCTCGCCTAGATCTTATCAACGCCCCCAGCGGGAGTCAAACTATAAAAATGCCGCATTTAATCTCGAAACGCTAACCACTACGCCACATTGTCACGAAGGCCCTTGGGCCACAGGGCAGATGTGAATTTCAAGGAAGTTCATGCATTTTCCATATCACATTCCGTGTTTGGATTGTCGATGAAGAAAACTTATATTTCTATAGGATTCTATGACATTACTTTTTTTATAAGTGAGTAGGTTTTCAAGACTGCCAGTAAATCAAATATATAAGAATTTTCCCACAATGATATGAATAGAGCTGACGCTTTCATTGAATTTCACATAACCTTGCTTTCCCAAAAGGTGTTCTCATCCAGGGTGGACTGTCGTTTTTACCTCGTTCAGCACTCCAGCAAGACTCGAATCCGGGTGATTAAGCGAGTAGTCCCGACACACATGAAATGTGCATCTGCCCTTTGACCCAAGGACACTCGTGGCATTGTGGCGTAGTAGCTAACGTATCGAGATTATACGCTGTAGTGTCATAGTTCAAGTCCCGCATTGGGGGCTGATAAGATACATACATGGTCGGAACAGCAGTCCACTCTGGATGATAATACCTTTTGAGAAAGCAAGTCTATGATAAATTCAATGGAATCATGAGGCCAATACATGTCATTGTGGTAAATTTCAACTACCAATCCTTAACCATCTTAAATAAAATAGTGTAAAAACATCTCATATATATGATGTACTAGTAGTCTCGAAACCTACTTATTATGAAAATATGCCGACTTTTGGTTAGCCTAAGGCTTTTATAAGAATGGAATTAATATGTTAGACAAGAATTCAGCCTATTTTCACCCAAGCCGAAGGAGAAAATCTTTTCGAGTGCGTTAAAATGAACGTTATATTAGAACCACAATAATGTCTCTGGGGTGAGTTCTTGATAAGGTAGTTTCACACAAAATGAAAATCACCAGAAATACTTTGCAAATCTGTGTAAAATTTAAATTGTTGTGCTTACTTTCATTTCGAGTGAAAGTGTTTAGTGAAGAGATTGGAAGGTCAGTTTCACCAGAAGACGACGGCGGATTCCTCTGGTGGAATCGACCTTCGAATCTCTTCACCAAACAATTTTACTCGAAATGGAAGTAAGCAGAACAATTATAAACAAGAGATTCCTCGAAGCCCAACTTTTCTTGGCATAAAATTTAAATTACTCTCCTCTCTTTCCAGACTCATAGGCAAATCTAGACTTGAGCAAGAGGCATTGGAACGGGCCTGTGGGAAAGGCTTACGGATAGTCCAATGATTCGGCCAACTCCATTGCCTGAGTTAAACGACGATGCAGTTCAGACGCCCACTCGAGCTCGCCCGTCAGTCTGGGCATGTTCCGATGTACCGCCTGTCGAGACCGTCTCCATCCGCTTGGCCTGACGGCTGAGGCACGAGGCCGAGCCGACCGGATGGGTAAATGACGCTCTCGAACGAGGCCAGCAGAACTGTGGCCAGGTCCACTCTGCAAGCCACTTAAAGGTCGGTCCATCACTGGGATGGAGAGAGAATCGGCACTCCGACGGGCACTAGGCTCAGCCTCGCTGTGTACTTCGGGTGAAACCGCCAGACTGGTACTTCGGCCAGAGATCACAGGCTCGGTGCTGGCTACACGTGAGATGTCTGCATCAGAATCCAGTGGATAAGGAACCAATTTATAGTAGCGCATAAATAAGACATATCATATTCCACTTATGATTATTGTAAATAATAGAGGCAGCCTGACGCATAAAAGATCACGGTTTATATGTGCTCAGTTGAAGCAAATATCTGAAACTTGGAAGTTTTTGGGAAGGAATTCTTACGACTGTATAAAGTTATTTGATGATCGGACGATTGAAAGAAGAGATTTGCTGGTAAGTTTCGATATAATGTCTATGCACACTAACATTCTGACAAACGAGGCAATGAAGGCATTAACTCTAGATCAACAGCCTGAAATTATAACAGGTAAAAAGTTAGGCAGATTCAATCATTACATTAGTCTATCCGGCAATGTATGATACATATTTTAACTTCAATGGCAAGTTGTATGAGCAAACACGGAGCTTAGCTATAGGATCTTGTTTAGTCCCTATTTTAGCTAGTAACTACATGGCCCAATTAGAAATTAGAGTCTTTCAAGAGAAGCTCATAGTTCCCAAGTTATAAGTTCGTTATGTGGATGATTACTTTGCTGTTTGGCGACGCGGCAAATATAGTTTGAGTGAATTCCTTGATCTAACAAACAGAATAGATGCCAATACTAGGTTTACTATGGAGATATAAAAGGAAAAT